CGGCGGCCCCGGGAGCAGCGGCGGCGGCGCCGCCATGAAGCGGGACGTGCGCATCCTCCTGCTGGGGGAGGGTAAGGCGGGCGGGGGGGTGGGCTCCTGCGGCCCTCCGGGCGGCCCGGGGCCCGTAGGGTGCCACCCGGCACCGGGAGGGCTTCGCCTGCGGGGGAGGCCGGGGGGGAACGGCCGGGCCTGCCCGTGGCCCCGGCCCCCGGGGTGGGGGGGAGCTGGCGGCGCGGGAGACGTGTCGCCCACTGTGGACGGTGGCAGTGCCCTCCGGCCGCCGTTGCCAGCCCCGCGGGCTCCCGTTTCTGGCGGCTCCTGCGGGCGAGGCCCTTGCCGTGGGCTCCCTCCAGCAGCCCCGGTCTCCTGGCCGTGGGCGAGTCGGGCTGAAGCGCCGCACCGCTTTACCGGCCTCCGCCCCGAGGTCTCCCGCAGGGCAAGGACACCGACGTCCCCTTCGCCCTCGGACCGAACCGCCCCGGGTCCCGCGGGTGTGACTGAGGCCGGCCGCTGCCCGCGGCCCACTCAGGCTCTGCCGAGCCGGTGCCAACGTCTTCCCTTACTTTCCTAGCCCAGGTGGGGAAGACATCTCTGATCATGGCTCTGGTGGGCGAGGAATTTCCTGAAGAGGTGAGTGTGAGGGGCACGAAGACACCCCTGGGCCCCCTCGCTGGGTGCCCGGCCAGGCATCTGTGGGACGGCTCTGTCCCGAGTGGCATTAGCCAGAGGCGAGATGTTTGGGAGGTGCACACAGCTCCCTGGGGACTGGTGACAGGCACGGGGCTGGTTCATGTGATTTTAAGCCTGTGAGGACCATGTGGAACTTCTGCTGAAATGGTGTTTTCTCCAGTTTGGGCTTTGATCCCTGAGTTGGGGCCCTGTCTGCCCTGGCAAGGGGTGTAGGTACCTCCCAGGGCCCTGCTCCCCACAGCCGCAGCCAGCATGCTGCAGTTGGGGGTCTCTGTGTCCACCAGCATAGCAGGCCGTGGGGCCCAGCCTTGCCTCGCGCGGCAAGGCCGTTTGCTCCCCAGCTCTGGCCTCGCTACAATGGCATTGGCACAGAGCCCTTGGAAGGGGTTGAGCCAAGTTCCCTGCCCTTCTGTGCCCATCTGGAGATGGGCTTGGTGCTTTGAGCTGGGCTATCTGTGAGGAACAGCATCCAGCCTGCCTGCGCATGCCCTTTGGAGCCTCCATCTCAGTGGCTCACAGTCCCATCGTAGTTTGGATAGGGAAACAGGATTGGTCTGGCTGGGCATGTTTGCCCTGTGCTGTTAGGTGGCTTCTCCCGCTGCCCATGAGCAGATGGTGCCCTCTGTGACGTTTGCACTGGGAAGCATCAGCTCTGGGTGCCTGGGGGAGGATCAGCTCTGCACACCTTCCCGTACTCTCACAGCAAAGCCCGGACAATCAGCTTAGTGCTTCTCCCAGCTGCCAAGAGGTCAGGCCAGAGAGCTGGGGGAGTGCTGAGGGCTTATCTCCAGAGCTGTAGCAGGGGCGGCAGCGCTGACTTGTCTGAAAGATGGCTACCCCGGCAGGACTTGGTGCCATCAAGAGCTGTGTCTCGAGGAGGGGCTTGGGTCTTGGGGCTGGGAGGCAGTTGGAGGTTTCACTGCAGGGATGCTGGATGTACTGTAGTGAGCCACAGCAGTGGCTGCAGCAGTGGCCAGCGATCTGTGGTCTGGAGCTTATCCCACCCTGGCAGGGGAGGTTGCCGGGTAGTGGTCATGCTGGGATCTGAAGTCCCTTGTCACCCATCCTCTCGGTTGCGTTTGGCATGGCTGGCTGGACCAGAGTCTGCTGGCTTTGCAGGTGCCCCCTCGAGCGGAGGAGATCACAATCCCAGCTGACGTCACCCCTGAGAAGGTCCCCACACACATAGTGGACTACTCAGGTAGGGCCCTGTCCCTCCTCGCTCCCTGCCGGCCTCGTTTTTCCCCTTCTCTCCCCAGCTGAGGGGAGTGGGAAGGGGTCCCTGCTGCCGGGGACGGTTGGTGACAGCTCTCTTCTCCATCCAGAGTCAGAGCAGACAGAGGATGAGCTGCAGGAGGAGATCGCTAAGGTGAGTGGGGCTGGACGGGGGTGTTGCGGGGCAGGAGGCTATGGTGCCTGTAGCCCTGCAGCCCGTGAGTGATGTGTGGCTTCTTGCACTCCCCATTAGCTGCCTGGAGATGTGCAGGCAATTGGTTATCTGTGGATTAGTGCTATGAGTTTGTTTAGAGGTTTGTTTAATCCTTCTCTGTCTTGTAAGCTGTTGTATGTGGCTTGTCCTGGTCCTCCGGGGAGCCTCCGGAAGGAGAGCGGTGGGGTGCAGCTCGCTGCCCACCAGGAGGTGGAGGAGGCTGCTGAGCAGATGATGTGCTCTTAGCTTCAGGATGTTCCCAACAAGCTCAGAAGAGGGGAGAAGCAGTTGCTGAGCTTGGGCAAGACCCCCCTGCTCCCTACGTTAGGTCCCTGTGGCTGCCTGATGAAGCAGTGGCACAGAGGAGTTGGTTTGGAAGCTGGAGTGCTGGACAGGGAGGGATGAGGGCTCCCACATCCCTCAGAGCAGCTATGGAGGAATAATCCAGCCGTCCGGCTGTGGTGGGCCCAGCTGCTCTTCTCTGCCATGGGATTAACCTCGGCTCTGTGCAGAGGAGGACCTCTTGATTGTGGATAATAAAACTGTCTCTCCTCTGTGCATCTCATGGGAGCAAAGCTATTTAATCTCTCCACCTCGGTGGCTAAGGGCCAAGGAGGTGGGCTGGTGGGCACGGGGTTCCTGCTCCCTCCACCCAGACAGTAAGAGTATACAGAAGCTTAAAATGGCTCCAGGAAATCCTGCCTAAACCCTTGTGTGTCGTCGGGATTAGCACTAAACTCTCTCCTGAAAGGGCCAGTGATCCCTCCTGTCTGCTTCAAATAAAGCATTGGTGTCAGCGCTGTCTGCACGGGGTCAGGGAGGGGAGGAGGGCAGCGGCCGCCGGCCCAGCACAGGGCATGGGCAGAGCCATCACGAGGGGGACAGTGAGGTGTGGGAGCGGGGAACCGGGGTGTCAGGCGTGGAGGCAGATGTGCTCATGGCAGCTCCGGAAGCAGAGGAGCCAGTCTTTGCTTCAAGCAGCCCATTGTAGAGCTCGTGTTGACAGCAGGCGAGTCGTTGCTGTTGGAGGGCTGTGTGTACGTGTGCGCGCTCACGCGCGCTCAACTGCTACTGCCGGGTTTCCGTGCAGGCATGACAGCGGCACGTGGGGCTGGAGCTGCCTGGCCGCGGGGCCGGCTTGATGGCTGTCAGGGCTATGCCTCAGGCTCAGACTGCCTCCCCCCTGCAGTGGGTGCACCACAGGGACCCTCGCTCACCAACCTCTGCCGCTTCTCTCTTGCAGGCTAACGTGGTCTGCGTGGTTTACGATGTCACCAAGGAGGCCACGATCGAGAAGGTAATGGGTCCCCCACTGGAGCCCTGAGCAGCTCCGCTCTGGCAGCAGCACCAGAGGGGAAGAGGTTCCCAGCGCTGGGTCCTAACTGGCTGCCTGGGTTTTTTGGTGTGGGCGAGTACTGATGCCCCCCAACCCTGCAGAGGATTTGGGGTTCCAGACCCCTGCAAGCAGAGGCAGGCTGGGCGCAGTCCAAGCTTGCTGCCACGTCGGCTGTTGTCATCACGTGCTGGGGGGCAGCAGGCTTGTCACATCTTTCTGCTGGCATCCAGCATCCCTGGGTCTGCTCTGCCTGCTGGTGCGGGGGAATGCCGGGGAGCAGATGGCTGCAGGGCCCTGCTGACTGCTGCGGCGCCTGCGCTGGGAGCTGCGCTGGGAGCTGCCTCTCCCTCCCCAGGCTGTGCTGACAGGCCTTTTCCTGTGCTCGCCTTTCAGATTCGGACAAAGTGGATCCCCATGGTGAACGGAGGAGTTGAAAAGGGCTCCAGGTACCGTGTGTGGCGTGGTCCGTGGATGCAGAATTGGAGGATTTGGGAGGCCACAGGGTGCCCACCACCCATGCCTCCTCCTGAGGTTACTGAGATCAAACCAACTTTGTGGCTTGTGCCTAGACCACTTGTAGCAGAAGAACATGGGGACTTTTCTCCCTTGCAGATCTAGCCAAGTCAGAGGGCCATGGGAGAGGGTTCATTCCTCCCTTGTACACTTCTCAGCCAGGCAGGGAGAGGAAGCTGCCCAGGGAATACGGGAGCACAGAAGCCATAATCTGTGTGTGCATCACTTAGGCAGAAGGCTGCTGTGCTGGATTAAAGGCTTGTGAACGTACTGTTGCTGGGTGAAAGCGTAAGCGGGATCAGGCAGTCTGTTTCTCCAGATGGATGCTCCCAGCCGTGGGAGGCAGGAAAGCTGCTGTGGACCTTGTGGAGGAGGGTGGGGAGGCTCCCCAGCCTGCTGCCTCGGAGCATGTGTGGCTGGGGCAGCGCTGAGATCGAGAGATGGGTAGCTTCACTCGTGCTCTCTGACACTGTCTTTCTTCCCCAGGATCCCCATTATTTTAGTGGGAAACAAGTCTGACCTGCAGGTGGGGAGCTCCATGGATGTCATCCTGCCCATCATGAACCAGTTCTCAGAGATCGAGACCTGTGTGGAGGTGAGGGGACTGGAGGGTTTCTGCAAAGCCTTCCTGAGGGGTAGAAGCGCTTGTCTGGTGTAAGCCAGGGAGCCTTTGTGCTTGTGGAGAGCTGCCCTGCTAATGGCACTCTGCAGAAGAACCCCTGTCTGGGTCTTGAAGGCCTGTGCTTTAGGCTTTCTGTCCTTTGCCTTCCTTGCAGGGAGTGGGTTTCAGTGTCTGCCCATTCTGGCTCTCTAGCTGTAACTGGTCTTGGAGCTACCTGCAGCCCTTGTTGGGTCTGGGGCTGTGGAACAGGCACAGCAAAGCCGGGGCATGAGCAGGAGGTTTCCGTTTTGTTTTTTCCTAATGGTGGACAGACATTGCTCTGTGCTTTGATGAGCAACTTGTCTGACTCAGGGAGCTCATATCATCTTCCTTCTGCCCCTTGTTACAAGACCATTGCCTGTCCCCGCTCACAGGGCTTTCTCTTCCTTTGAATCCCTAGTGCTCTGCCAAGAACCTCAAGAACATCTCTGAGCTCTTCTACTATGCCCAGAAAGCTGTGCTGCACCCCACCGCTCCCCTCTACGACCCAGAGGAGAAGCAGGTAGGAAGCACTGCTCACAGCCCCTGGAGGAGTCTCCTTCCCCTCACAGCGCTCCGGTCTCTTGCTGTGCTTTTGCCCCTGGGGGTAGGAGGGTGGAGAGTTTGGGCCGATGCAGCCAGAACAAGGCGAAAGCACCCATCTCCTGTGCTCAGAGCAGCCAGCGAGCATATCCAGGCCAGAGAGATCTGCAAGGACTGGGGGCACGTTGGGGCAGAAGCCCTCATGCTCCAGACCATGTGTTAGCCATGGTGGGAAGGGTCCAGGAGAAAACTTCTCTGTGGGCTGTCCTGCTTCTGACTCCCACCTCCAAGGTGGGTGTGGTACTGGCCTAGCTGGACTGTGTTCCCAGCCAGTGCAGGAAGGGAACCCCTCTGCGCATGGGGTTTCAGGAGGCAGGAGGAAGAGCCAGGCTGAAGGTGATGCCCTGTTTTTGTCACCGTGGTTGGTCCCTTGCAGCTGAAACCTGCGTGTGCACGAGCGCTGACCCGGATTTTCAACCTCTCGGACCAGGATAACAACCAGATCCTTAGCGATGATGAACTCAACTACTTCCAGGTAGGACTGGCTGCGGAGCTAAGTATTCCCCAGTCCCTTGTGGAAAGCCCCTGGGGTCCCTTTTCCTTCCAATACCAGGCAGAAAGGCTGCCCTGTCCTGGCACAGCTGTCCTGTTTGCATTCAGTACATCTGCTGTTGCGCAGCTGAAGCACCATAGAGTGCATCTTTGAGCATGTGGGGATCCACAGGTCTTCCATTTTCACTAAGCTTGGGCCGAGTTTGCTCTGCTGTAGGAAGAGGAGGAGGCTCTGGAGATGCTGAGAGTCATACTTTATTGGGATACTGAGGAACAGGAATTTGGTCAGGGTCTAAGGAAGTAATCCCTGAGCTGGGTGGATTTTCTCTCCTAGAAACGCTGTCTCCTTGCCAGGGGAGAGGGATGTTGGCAGAGACAGAGGGTTGTGCTGTCTATATGCTTTGCTGACAATGACATTCTTTCTCCTGGGAGGTAGAAGTCCTGCTTTGGAAACCCACTGGCTCCCCAAGCCCTGGAGGACGTAAAGATGGTTGTGTGGAAGAACACCACAGATGGGGTGCAGGACAACGGCCTGACATTGAATGGTAATGGCACAAGGGCTCCATGCTCCTTCCCAGCGAGGGATGGAGGGACCCATCTCCTTCAGCACATTGTGAGGGGCCCTGTCTTTGGGCAGAGCCTCTCGGCTCTCATTCCAAGCCTAATTAGTCCCTCTTGTCAAAGCAAGCCTGAGCCTGCTGTGGCTACTAGAGCTCCCTGTCCAAGCAGCCTGTTTTCCCAGGGAAAGCGTGGTCCTGAGGAGTGGATCCCTGAGGCTGAGTGCTTGGTTGGCCCCACTGTGTCTGAGCTGCCTGATCTCTCCTGCAGGCTTCCTTTTCCTCAACACACTCTTCATCCAGAGGGGCCGGCACGAGACCACCTGGACCATCCTTCGCCGTTTCGGCTACGACGATGAGCTGGCACTGACAGATGACTATCTCTACCCACAGTGCGTATCCTGCCATGGAGTGGGGCGGGCAAGGTGTGATGTCCCCGTGGTGTGCAGCTTGGGCTCCTCAGCACCTTTGCTGGCTCCTTTCTGCACCCTGGGGTCTACTACGTTCCTCAGCTGAGGCTGAATCCTCACCCTTAGCTCATGGTCAGGTTCATGCTCCTCATCTTCCCCTGTGGGCAGAAGCTAACACGTGGGGTTGGCGACGAATACAATGGGCCTTGGAGCTGCTGTCTGTGCTGCTGGCTCTGATGTAGGCAGGCAAAGAGGTGGGGAATGAAGGACTGTCCCTGACTTCCCTTGACATCAGCAAGGGGTTTTTGAAGGCTGTTCTGTCTCTGCCTGAGCTGAGGCAGAATGACTCTGTTGGGAGCAACGAGCTGTCAGCATAGCCCTCTCGGCTGATTCTGCAGCTGCTGTCTCTTCTCTCCTCCCTGCCACCCTGGAGGTGGTGATCTGGCAGTAATGAAAGGGTTTGGCTTGTGAGCTGCCTCATCCTCTCCCCAGGCAGCAAGAAGGCTGCGTGGGGAGGCGACAGGACCCGTGCTGGTGGAAAGCACCCTGGGGGTAGTGCTGTGCCCTACTGAGGCCCTGGGCACGAGACAGAGCGAGGGCTACATCATCTCTCTGGCTTCTTGGGCAGTGTGGATATACCAAGGAGAGGCCACTGTGCATCCCTGAGGGCTTCTCCCCAAAACAAGGGGGCTGTGTCAAGGAATAGCCAGGCCTGCAGACAACTGCTGGCCTTGAGCAGGGAGGGAGTGGGGAGCTGTATCCTCTGGGCGAGATCTGGGTTGGCCAAAGACCCACTCACACACTGCCCTTTGTTCGGGGCTTCAGGAGGCTCACTTGGGTCTCTTCCGACAGGTTCCGCCTTCCCCCTGGCTGCTCCACGGAGCTCAACCACTTGGGCTACCAGTTCCTGCAGCGGCTGTTTGAGAAGCATGACAAGGTGGGCAGTGTGCGGTGGAGCTGCCTGGGGAGGGGACACTTTCTGCTAGGGCTGCATGCTTGGGCGTAGCTGCTCTCCTGTCCACCCCTCTGTTCCAGGGAGCGCTCCTTTTGCAGCTTCTTGCCGAGGCTTTGGGAGCAGGAGGTGATCACAGCGAGCTGTACATGGTCTGATGGCAGCAGGGTGTCGAGGGCATGGGATTGTGGTCACTACCCTTGACCAAAGGGCAGCCAATAAGTTTGTGCCTTCAGGGGATGGGTCTGAGTTAACATCAAACCAGCGTAGCCCCTCGTAGTGCCTGGCTGCAGCATGCAGGATGGCAGGGAAAGCAAGCACAGCTGCTGGCCTGCAGCCATGACCAAGCACAAGCATCCGCACAGCTGCCAGCCCTGTGGAGGGGGTGCCAGGCTGGAGAGAGGGAGAGAAAGCAACTGATTAGTGCCATACTCTGGCTCTTTGGAGAGTGGGAGAAGGGAATGTATTGGATCAGCATGCACCTGCTTGGACTAGTTATTCAGATGTTGGTGTGCACCTGGGATATGGCAGCTCTGTGGCCACAGGGAATTGCAGCACAGAGTCGATGCCCATCCCTGTGTGCCCAGATGCTGGCAGATCCTTTGTGTCATGGCCCTGAGGCACACCAGCATGAAGATGCTGTCTTGGCATGTTGCTAGCTGGCGGCCAGTGGCCCGGCAGCCGCACACAGACCTTGGGTTAGTTACCCTGCAGTGTGGAAGGCCAGGCTGGATTGATGCAGGCTGGTGCAGGGTGGCTGGCCCCAGGGAAGCTCAGGGCTGCAGGGTGAGTGTGGACAGGACCTGCCCGGTAGCAGGGCTGGCACTGGTTCCAACTGCAATTGTAGAGCAGGATTGGCTGGTCTCTTGTGCAGTGATGGGAGTCCCTGGGGCACAGGCTCTCTGCACGCTCATGCAGCTCTGGGCTTGCTTGCAGTTGATTTCTGCCATTGAAAGCATCCCTGTGTTGTTCTGCAGCAGCGAGCAGGGTGGCTTGTGTGCCGGGGACCCTCACTGGACCCCGATCCTTGGTATGACTGCAGAGAGCTACTGCTGCATCACGGGCTGTGTCCTGCCTCACCTGCTGACTCCCCTTTGTTTCGGCAGGACCAGGATGGAGCCCTGTCACCCATAGAGCTGCAGAACTTCTTCAGTGTCTTCCCCTGTGTGCCCTGGGGCCCCGAGCTCTACAACACGGTATGCACCACTGATAAAGGCCTGCTTTCCCTGCATGGATTCCTCTGCCAGTGGACGTAAGCTCAGTCCCTCTCCCTCGCCTTTAGTCACATCGCTTAGCCCTTGCTGACCTTTTCGGCTTCCCGGTACGCTCTGTCTCTTCAGGCTCGTGGCTTACCTGGATGTGCGGCACTGCCTGGAGTGCCTGGGCTACCTGGGCTACCCCATTCTCTCGGAGCAGGACTCCCAGACACAAGCCCTCACGGGTACGGCCATGCCCTCCCCTCCTGTCACGGCTCAGGTCCCTCCTCTCGCTCACCCAGCCTCTCTCCTGCCAGTGACCCGGGAGAAGAGGATCGACCTGGAGAAAGGCCAGACCCAGAGAAACGTCTTCCTCTGCAAGGTGCTGGGAGCCAGGGGCGCAGGCAAGTCTGCCTTCCTGCAGGCCTTCCTCGGCAGGAGCCTCGCGGTGAGTCGCTGCTCCCCTCTCTGGCCACGCTGCGGCAGGGTGTCCTGGCAGAGCAGGAGGCAGAGCCGTGAGGCCATTGAGTGATCTGCCGCGTGATGGCACCTCCCTGCCCATGGCCAGGCCCCAGCGTCCTGGCAAAGGGCTTCACACCCCACTCCATGCCAGTGGTGCCGGTTGCTGTGGCACTTGCATCCTTAATTTTGCCTAAGGCAGCATGCCCACTCCCTCTGCTTGTCCCGAGGATCTGGAGGGGCTATGCCTTTCCTGGGCAGCTGTATCTCCCTGAGGTGATGCTGGCTTTCCCTGCTTGTTATGAACAGCCCCGCATCTCGTGGCAGGCGCCAGCTGGCCTTCAGGTGGCTGTTACACCACAGGCGCTCGGGGCAGTGTGAAATGCTCTCCCTCCCCCAAGCACTGCTCTCGCTCCCTGCTGTCTGAGACAGTGGTTTTTTTCGGTGGCAGGCCCAGAGGGAGAACCCAGGAGAGCCATCCCTCTACGTGATCAACACGGTGCAGGTCAACGGCCAGGAAAAGTACCTTATAGTAAGTCAGGGAGAGGAGGGAATCGCTGCTGTGTCTGGCTCGCAGCAGGGCAGGGCTGTGTCTCCCCATATTGCTGCAGTGCCATCCCTTCACCCCTGGCCTGGGCTGTGGCTCCAGTCACGCCGGCACAGTCTGTGTGCTGGTGTGAGAAACAGCCAGTCTCCTTGAGACGGTGCTGTGCCACGCATCCTTTCCCCTCCTGCCCCAGCTGTATGAGGTCAGTGCCGACACGAAGTTTGTGAAGCCGTCGGACACAGCCTGCGATGTCGCCTGCTTCATCTATGACCTGAGTGACCCCAGATCCTTCAGCTACTGTGCCAGTATTTATAAGGTAGCTGGCAGGGGACCTATGGGACTTCAGCCTTTGCATGGCAGCCCCACATCTCCCGGCGGCTGGTTGCTTACCCCTCTCTGGGACTTCTCCCTGTCTCTGCAGCAACACTACATGGACAGCCAGATCCCCTGCGTCTTCGTGGCCTCCAAGACAGACCTGCCAGAAGCAAGTCAGCAGCCTGGGCTCTCCCCTGCTGAGTTCTGCTACAAGCACTGCCTCCCGCCGCCCTTCCTCTTCTCCTGCCACAGCCAGGGTCCGCCCAGCACCACCGTCTACACCAAGCTGGCCACCGCTGCCACCTTCCCGTTAGTATCCTTCCCGCGGAGGGGGCTCTTGGCTGGGAGCAGAGCTTGGGGAGGGGGGCTGTGTCCGAACTGTGCCTCTGCCCCGTTGCTTTTGGTTTGGTTTCTCTCTAGCTCTTGGTGTCATCTGCTCATGCAAGTAATTGAAACAAAAAGGCCACTTCTTCCCCTGCTTGGAGAGGGTGGAGGCTCTCTTCTGCCTTGTGTGTGTCTGGCAGATTTATTAGATCTTGCCACAGGAGTTTTTATTTTTGAAGCCTAAGATAAAAAAATGCTGAAGGGGAGTAGCCAGCCTAGTTTGCCGAGGCCTGCAGAGGCGGGGTGGCAGCTATTTTCTCCTGATGAGATGGATCAGACTGAAAAAGAGGTCAGTGAAGCAAGACCTCTGTTCGCACAGCCTCCCTTTGGGAAGGAACCGCACCTGAAAGGGGCTGGGTAACAGGGCAGGGAGGCAGCCAGGCTGGTCATGGGCAGTGAGGGGACATCTGGGAGGGAGAACATGTCTGCATGTGGCATCGCTCTGCTTGAGGGGCGGAGGGGGCTGAAAGCTGAGGGTCGGTGCAACGCTGGGGGCAGAGCCCTCCTGGGGAGAACGTGTGGGTGCGCTGGAAGACAGGATGGGATTACTAGTGAGTGGTTTTCCCTCTAGCTTCTTTTCAATAAACAACTTTATTTTTAGAGCTGACACTTTTTTTTTTTTCTCTTCTGCAGTATTAAAATTTAAATATTCTTAATATATCTTAGGGTATGTGGTATAAATAAATAACAGCGTAATGGAGGGCCAGGGATTGGCTGTTCTCCCCTGATTTAGTGGAGAATGAATAATGGATATGTCTTTCTTCCTTGGAGAGGAGCACGTTGATGCAGGACAGCGTGTGTTTAGGAAGTGAATGTGTATGCTCGGGCAGCACTAGTCCCCTTCCCTTACTGCCCTTAGGTCGGTGTCCCTGGCTGTGCCAGCGTCTCCACCCACATCCACTTCTGGGTCTCAGTGCACTTTGAGTTGTAAAAGCAGCTTGACCTAGAAAGGAAGATACATACCTCCTTGCTCGTACTAATTATTTAGGTGTTGGTGTGCTATTTCCAGACCATAGGAGGGTAAAGCCACATCCGTCCCACCAGCAGGGCAGGGAGCCTTCATTTGGTTTGATGATGATGCTGGGCAGTGGGTACTCTGGCTTGCAGGGCCGGGGAGCATCTTGGGGCTCTCTACCTTCAGCTGGGCTGTATCCCCCAGCCTGGAGCTGCGCTGTGGTCACCGTCCATCCCCCCAGGGACACCCCAACCTCCCTGCTTGGGGTGGAAGCGCTCTGGGCTGTGGGGGAGCTTGACGTTTGTACAGCCGTCTCTGTGCACCTCACTCACTGGCCTCTTCTCTCTTTCCTTGCAGCCACTTGAACGCCGTGGAGCTGGGAGCCGCGTCCTTCTGGCTCCGGGTGGCTCTGGGGGCCACGGTGACTGCTCTGGTAGGGTTCACGCTGTACCGCGTGCTAGCCAAGAACAAATGAGAGTCGCTCTCCACCCCGTCCTCCCTGTGACACCAGCCTCCCCGTCCCAAATGACGACCCAGTGAGGGGCCCTGCCTCAAGCTGGTCCCTGGTGGGAAATCCTCCTTTCCCCCCAGCCTGGATTGCAGGACCAGTGAAACCGGACTTCCCAGCACCAGCAGGATAGTTCCCCCAGCACTGGCCAGCCTAATCCTGCTGGCCTCTGCAGCCTCCTCACCCACATGGCTCCTGCCCAGCCGTGGCAGCAGGGGCCAGGCAGCTCTGCCTGGGGGCTCCACCTCACCGGCAGCTGGAGGATCACCCTCATCTTTTATTCTGTTAAATTTTTTTAACGTTTGTTTTTAAGCTCAAACATTGAGTGTTTCAGTATCTCTTGGGCCGGGCACATCCCTTCCCCGGAGGGCTGTGCTGGTGCCCTCAATTCTGGGGGGCAGCACTCCCACAGCCCCTCGTGCCTCCAGCAGCAGCAGAGCTGTTGGATGGGCTCATGGCTTCACCCCCCTGGGGCACACCTCCATCCCCTGTCCCTGTTTCCCTCAGCCAGAGCTGGGAAAGGCAGCCGTGAAGGGCCAGGCACTTAGACCCCCCAAAGCCCCTGTGTTTTTGGAGTCACTCCTGGCCCCTCCTGCTGGGACACTGTGGCTGCAGCCCCCAGCCCCGGGCTGCAAGGGGAGGGAGTGATACCAGGGTCTTGTCCTAGGCTCCTTCTCTCTCTTGTTTCTGCACAAAAATACTTGGAGTCCTGCAGTGTGCTAGGCTCTCCGCCCATCTGCCCTCCTCCCCTGCCTGGCTGCGTGGCCTGTCCCCTCCCTGCGTCACCAGTATTCACGGCCGCCAGTATTCTCAGGGCCCCAGGAGCCCTGGTAAGCTGGGGAGGGCTGTGAGGGTGTCAGGCTGCAGTCCTTTCGTGGCAGTGCCATCCCTGAGCTGGTGCCACGCTGTGCCACATGCTGGCATATGCCCCTTGTCCTGCTGTCCCCTCCACAGCGCCCTGGCCGCACTGAGGCTGTCCCAGAGTGCGAGGCTCTGGGTGTTGCATCTCCTGGTACGACTGGAAGCTCTTTCCTCCCCTGTCCCCTGCCCCGAGCTGGCATTAGCTGCCGGGCAGCTGCTGTGACTTCAGCTCAGCGCAAATCTGGGGCCAGAGTCCCACCATGTCCGTGTCTCCGAGTCCCAAAGAGTAAGGCCAGCCTGTGCTGGCCCCCACACAGCTCACACCCATCCCTGGGCTCCCATTCTTCCGGGGGGAGCCTGAGTCAGGTCCTGGCTCAGTAACACTAGCTCTTAGGCTTTTTGAGCACACTCAGGGTAGGTTTCTTTGCAGGCAGCTGGTGGGGCAGCACTGAGGTAACAGCTGGAGCTGCTTTTCTCTATGTTTTGTCTATTTAAACTTTTTATTGTGGCCTGGAGCCAGTGAGGGGGTTGAGAAGTTGCTGGGCAGCAGCCAGCATCTTATGGGGGCAGTCCCAGGGTGGTGCCCCTATCCTGCCGGTGCCTGGTCCCCAGCGCTGGCCGGATGAGGGGGTCCCTGCCTGTGCTGGTGCCACTCTGCCAGTCAGGCACCCGCTGCTGGCCTGTGGTTCATGGCACTGCCAAGGCCACATCTCTGGTGTTCCTGTATCCCTTCTCCGTGCCCAAGCCCACCACGCGTGGCTCTGCTAGCCAGGCCCGTGTCTGGTGGTCTGACCCCGCTCCTGGCACCAGTCCATGTCTGGCAAAGCCATACCGTTTTAGGAGGTTTGTTCTCTACATCAAAATAAATTTTTACACACCTTCTGCTTGCATACCGTCTCCTGCGTCTCCTGGGGAGCGGGACTCCTTGCCCCTGCCGGGGCTGCACAAAGCCTGGGGCCTCCCTTGGCTGCGTTGTGAGCAAGGAGAACCCAAGGGCCTGGGCTGCCCATTCCGTTTGTGGGCAGTTACAGGGATTTTGGGCAGGAGCTGAAGCCTGGTCCTGGGGGCCAAGGCTCAGGACTGGCCCAGGGATCCTTGGTGCTGGGGGACATGGATGCCTCTGCAACAAGTGCCAGCCAGCAGGGAGAGGCAGGGAAGGAGGTGGTGGGTCCCTGTGTCGCTCTGGCAGGATCTCACAGGCAGTTGGAAGTGGAAGATTTGGCTGCCTCTGTGCCCCTGGGGAGCTGTGGCTCTGTGTACCCTTCCCCATGTGGGGCTAGGGGGTCCATGCTTCCCTGCAGCTGCCTTCCCCCTGCTGTATGCCTGCAGCTCCCGGGGCTGTGCCGCCTCCCCTGCCTGCTCCTGTTTACCCATGGCAGCTTTTCCCTCGGCTATTTCTGTCTCTGCAGGTTCAGCCACGGGCGCTGGGCACTGGGAACGCAGGCGCAGCTGGGGAAAAGGCTTTTCGCAGCACCTCTCCAGGGCCTCTGCTTTGAGGCTGGATGGGACCAGACTGCTCCCTTGTGTGCGAGGGGGTCCCTCCGGAGTGGGAGAAGAGATCCTTCCCACTATGGCAAACTGGGGCATTCAGGGGTGCTGGGGCAGGGACCGGGAGGGAGCACGGCCGGTGCTGTTGTGCAGGGCGGAGGAGGTGATGCCAAGGTGGACAGGATGTATGGTGCTCCCTGGTGAGTTCAAGCCAGGTGCCGCGGTGCATATTAATAGTGCCGGTGTGCCGGAGCTGTACCAGGGCAGGCGTGGGGCAGGCAATGCACATGGCAGGGCTGTGGGAGGTCACCCATGGCCGCAAGCAATCCCTGAGGAAGGAGGCCAGGCATTACCCTGCTGCTGGGCATCTCTGCCTGCCCCGTGCCAGCCGGCATCACCGCAGCATCGCCGGCCTGCACAGGGCCCTGCCTGCTGCCTCCCAGCTCCTCTGCCCCGGTGTGGGGACAGCCCCATGCCATGGCAGGGCTGTGAAGCCCAGAGCTCCCCTGGCACTCACAGTGGGGCTGAGCTGTGGCCCAGGGGAGTGGGGACCGTGGCAGGGCTGGGCCCTGGGGACACCCCATCCTGTGGGACGGAGCGCCTGGCCCGAGTGCCGCTGTGCACGTCACGTAAAGGGTGCCAGTTCAAGGTAAGCGGTGCCAGTGCAAGGTAAGCATGTGCTCTGTGCTGCGGCAGGTGCCAGTGCTGGAGGGACTGGGGACCCATGGGGGATGCGCCCAGAGCTGTGCTGGCCTGTGGGTGCCAGGGTTGGGACGGAGGTAAAGTTTGCAGTCGCCAGTGCCAGATTCAGCAGGTACCTGGTGCTGATATGCTGCTATCCATACTGGGATGCAGGTACCATACCAGGATACAGATTCCTGTAGCAGGAGGCAGGTACCATGCTGTGATGCAGAAACACGTACCAGGATGCAGGTACTGTACTGGGACGTGGGTACCAGTACTGGGATGAAAGTACCCGTGCTGGGATGCAGGTGCTGTAAACCGAATGTGAGTTCCAGTACTGGGATGCAGTTACTGTACTGAGATGTGGGTACCAGTACTGGGATGGAGGTACTGTACTGGGATGCAGGCACCTGTACTGGGATGCCCGTACTGTACCAGGATGCAGGTATTGTACCAGGATGTGGGTACCCTATTGGGATGTGGGTACCAGTACTGGGATTCTTGTACCATACCAGGATGCAGATACCCATACTGGGATGTAGGTACTGTACCAGGATGAGTGTACCAGTACTGGGATGCAGGTACCATACTGGGATATGAGTACCAGTACCGGGATGC